TCTTTCTTCAGCCCGCAGGAGCCTCCACACCATGATCCAGGTTCCAGGCCTGAGGATGCCTCTGACCTACACAGGTTTCCAGGCTTCAGGACTTGCTGAAGGAAGGTCAAATGCTGAGAGGCGGAAATTAACGGATAGTCTCCTTGCAGGGTGGTGTCAGGTCAGTCTGGACTTGGCCGTGGGTCTGGCCATGCGGCCCCCACCCAGGGAGCAGGGCTGGTCAGCTTCTCCCAGGCCCCTGGGTCCCTCCTCTGGGTGAGCACTGCCACCTGGTGGGCATGTTGGGCACAGCCACCCACCCGGGGGTCCTGGAAGGTGACGGGGGCGTCCATCCCTGGAGAGGCCCCAGGAGAGGCCTGGCACTGGGGGCTGAGCATCCACACTCTGACCATCCCTGGAGGGGCAGCCCCAGAGCTCCCGTCAAGCCCTCAGGCAGGTGGACCTCCCGCCCCTGCTGCGTCCACACTGTGTCTTACCACTGCACCGACCACAGCCCCCTCTGGCCCCTACCCAAACCACCCTCCACCCCCATTTCAGCCTCGAGCACATGGGAGGCACCTGTAAATGAGGCCCCTCATGAGTGGACCCCCAGGTGGGGGTGAGCGCCCAGCAGTGTCAGGGGAAGGTGGGGTCACAATGAGAGGGGCAGCGCATTTGTGGGACACCATGCTTGTGTATTGCGAGGTGTTGAGTAAACCATTCTAAAAGACATTTGTCACCTCGTCAGCCATTTGGGAATGTCAGTGGCTCCGTGAGGCCCGTATGTGAGGACACTGTCTCCTCGTCTCCCCAGTGAGGGCCTCTGCAAGGGCAGGTATGGGAGGAGGAGCAAGGTTTTGGGAGGGTGGACAGACAAGTAGATGGGGACCATGCTGTCCAGGTGAGCTGAGGGACAGCAGGTGCCCCTGCGACAGGCTGGTCTGCAGAGGCCTCCCCTCTGGCTGCTCCTGCTGGGCCTCCCACAGCCCCCACTGCTCCACCAACACCCAAGCTCACTGCTGCCCTGAAAAAGGGGCTTCTGGACATTGTCCCCCATCCTGCGCCCTGTCCACAGCACCCACACCGACCTTGCCTCAGAGAGCCATCTGGAAGTGCCTGCAGATGGTCCCAGAGACTGGGGTGGCTGCAGCGAGGTCAGACCCCAGACAGGCTCAGGATCAGCCCAGGATCACTCACCCGCCGGCCAGAGACTCAGTGTCCCGTCCCGTGGGATGGGGTGATTGGCAATGATGCTGCCTCATGGGGTCAGGGGACATGGTCTGGGGTGGCATGTGCAGAGCTGATGCACCAGACACACTGTGCAGCCAGCCATGGAGCTGGGGCGGGGAAGGCCTGAGCATGTTGGGAAGCAGGAGGACCACTGCCAGCCGGGCTGCAGAGAGCCTCAGAGGCTGGGCACAGGCGTGGTCCAGCCCGAGGCCAAGTGAGCTGTGTGTGGAGCCCCAGCTGGGGGGGACCCACCAAGGCACAGTCTGCTTAGAGGCCCTGATAGTCTCTCCCCTGCCTTGGTTGAGAACCCTTGGCTTAGCAGGGCACACGGCACCCACTGTAAAGACTCCCCTTCCCAGTCTTCCTGGTGGACATGTGGCCAGGTTTCAGCCAAGAGGCACATGTCACTTCAGAAACATGTCCCCAGAGGGAGAGGTGTGCTGTCTTGCCCACACCCGTCTGCTGGCTGGGATGCAGGTGTAATCACCTGCCCAGCAGCTGTCTTGGACCATGTGGGGCCCCAAAGGAAGAAGACATGCCAGCAGAGCAGGAGGCCAAGAGGGCCCTGAGTCCCTGGCCCCGTGGGGCTGCCTACCTCCCGTGCCCAGCCGGCCTCCCCTAGACCTGCATGCCGGGAGAATGAGCGTGAGCCTTGCAGTTGGACCCACAGTTGTTCAGGTTCCTCAGCTAACCACAGCCGGGCCCAGCCCTAATCCTCATCCCAGGTGATAGTTCCCAAAGAAACTAAGAGAAACGTCTGGGCACAGAGAAATACAGCAAACAGTTCATGACCTTGAGAGAAAGCAGACACTGGACAGAGAGAAGGACAGGGGACAGGTCTTGCCTCCCACAACAGCCCCCTCCACACATGGGAGAGAGCGGGGAGCGGGCAGACTCCACATAGCCTCCCCCAGAACTGCAGAGCGGATCTTGGCCTGGGCACCCAAGTGTCAACCCAGCAACAGCATCATAGCCATCTCAGTCTCCATGGCCCTGAAGACCCTCCTGTGATGGCCCCCGAGCCCTTGGCTAATGGGCCACAGCAGGGCCCAAGTCAGCACTGTGTGTGGATGGAGGTGAACTCAGCAGCCAAGCCCGGAGCCCAAAGGCAGGAGCCCAGCTGACCCAGAGCCCGGCTCAATTCTTCCCAAAGCCCAAGGACACTGCAGCCCAGAACTTCCTGAAGTCTCCCAACATGAGGCTGGGCCCCTCTCTGAACCCTATGGGAAGGGGGCTGTGGGGAACAGCGGGCAGGGGACTGAGCCTGGCTGAGGTCAGCAGATCTGGGCACCTGTCTAGGGCTGGTCACTGCCTCAAGGGGCCACTGGGCATCCTTCCTGCTCAGCTGACCCCTGGAAGCCCAGGAGGGTCTCCGGGGTGGAAGATTCCAGAGGGGGGGATCTGCAGACCTGAGATCAGGCCCAGGCTCAGCTGTAGCTGAATCTCAGAAAGCCAACTACAGCCAGGCCCTCGCCCAGGACCCTCTTGGGGGCTGGAGATGGCCGGCCAAGCGTCCACTCCACCCTCCACCTGGTCTTGCTGGGTCCTGCAGGGCAGCTGGAGAGGAGGAGGCTGAGGAGTGGAGCGAGGGTGACCCATGGGCAACCAAGGGCAGCAGGGGTGGCTTGGACGACACCGGAGCCCAGGCTGAGCACGAGTGGCATGTCCCAGCTCTCCACCAGACCCCTACAGACCCAGGTGGCCTCGGAGGCATCCAGGAGGGAAGGGTGCATAGGCACAGATCCCACACACGTAGGTCAGGCTCATTTGATATTTACAGAAGGGCCCAGGCCAGAGGCTCCGCAGGGACCCTGCTGCGCCTGATGGCTGAGACCCATCGACGCTCAACACTCGCAGGGATCTAGAACCGTGGCGGGAAGCCTTCAAACATGGCGTGGGCATGGGGTGGGTGTCCCAGGTTCGTTCAGACTTCTTTTGGCCTCCAGAACTGAGAGAGGATGAATTCTTGGGGTGTGGAGGCACTGGTTTGTGTACTTTGTGCAACTGGTGGCAGGACGCTGACCATCCCCACCCCCGCCTTGGTGCTCCCGGCCCTCAGACCTGCATGCAGAGACGGCAGCAAGGAAGAGGCCACACACTGCCCACATTGAATCACTGCGTTTACTAAGTGCACAGGTCCACCGGGCATCCAAACTCATCCCCGTGGCAGCAGAACTTTCCAGAACTTTCCACACATGCCCCTGCCGCAGGATTCTGCACCCAAAATCCCCCCAACAAACCACACTGGCCCGTCCTCACAGCACAAGCATCAACCTGTCCGTGTTGAATAATATCTCAGCTACTACATTAGCACATGCCCCTGCCGCAGGATTCTGCACCCAAAGTCCCTCCAACAAACCACACTGGGCCGTCCTCACAGCACAAGCATCAACCTGTCCGTGTTGAATAATATCTCAGCTACTACATTAGAAAACTAGAGTTCATTCCCTGGGCGTCTATCCCTAGAAAATGGACGGTGCAGAGCGAGGCCGAAGTGTGCAGGGTGGCAGCACGGCCACCAAGAAAAAGGACCTGTCACCACAGCCGGGGTGCACACAGGCGGTCAGAGGCGCACGTCAGCATGAAGGCATTATGAATGTTCTTTGGAGCATGAACAAAAGTGCAGAGACAGACAGAGGCAGCCACACGTGGTGCAGCTGCAGCCACCGTCACGGCCAGGAACACAGGCTGTGGCAGCCGGGAGCGGGACACACGTGTGTTGAGCCGATCCCAGGCAGGCGGACAGGCAGCATCCAGAGGGACGACTGGTGTGTGACAACCCGTGAGACCCCCTCCTGTCCTGCACTCACCTCTGGAGCTGGTCCCTGCAGCCCCTCACCTGCCCAACCTAGAGTCAGGGTCTGGGGCATTCATGCCTGGCAAAGGTGGGGCACAAGGGTGACCTTGGTGAATTTCGTCCACATGCATTAAGGCAACGACTTTGTAAAACCCAATCAGAGTTGATGTGCGGCGTACAGCGACGTGCACCCCACCTTGGGTCCTGGGCACTGTCCCCCCACACCTAGCACCTGACTGAGGGTCAGACACAGAGGATCTCTCAGGACGGGGCCGCTGGCCAGAGCCAGCGTCTTTGGGCAGAAGGGGCACCAAGACAGTGTCCAGGACTAGGATTCTAACCCCACAAGTGCCTCTGACACTTTCACAAAAGGTCTCACCTCCTGGGCAGCCCCCTCCCTCTCACTCCCTCTGCCTTTCCTGCCCCTCCCTCAGCACCCCAGGGGCTGCTGTCAGCCCCACCTTTCACAAGACAGAAAAACCCAGCAAATGGTAACCCCATTCACCCAACCCTGGGACACGGAAGAGCCCCTCACGTACACAGCTGATTTTTCCAGGTCTCTCGGAGGGGAGAGGAACCTGGGTCATTTCCTTGAGCCCCCAAGTCCATCATGCTGCCTCCTCCAGGAAGCCCTCCCTGGTTCTCTCCCCTCCTCCTTAGTCCTGGCCTACCATAGCCCTGCAGGCTCCCCAAGTGGTGACTCCGATCTGCAGACCCTGCGGGCCCTAGCCAGCCCTAGCCAGTCCCCCTCACCCCACACTCAATGTCCTGTACATACAAGCAGGTGCCCCAGTGTTTGAAGGGTTTTTGAAGGTGTTTGAAGGGTTTAAGACACCTGAGGCCCTTTCTCATTGTCCTTTTGATCTCGCAGCATGACAGGGCAGTGCCTGCAGCCTCTGCTCCCGGCAGTATTTACAGCACGGTGAGCGCAAAACAGAGGCCCACCCCAGTGTCTCTGCAGAGGCCTCCTGCGGCCCTTGGCTCGCTCTGCTCCTGGGAAGGATCTAGGAAAATCTCAGGGCCAAGTTCCTTCCATGAAGAAGGGAGCATTTTTCCCGGGGTGTCCCTGAACGTGGGGGCCCAGCCCAGCTCCGGGAGGATCGAAGAGAGGATGTTTCCTCCCCCTTCTCTCCCTGGCCAACATCTCGAATCCATGACCACCGAGGCCTCCAGCTTAGCGCAGGGAGAAGGCAATGTTAAAATAAATTAACACATTAAAAGTATGTGATGCCCGGGCCGGCCCGGTGGCGCACTGCGCTAGTGCGCNGTCTATGCTTGTTTGTGTGCATGTGTGAGCTTGTGTGTGCATGTGTGTACATGTGGTCTATCCTCGTATGTGCATGTGAGCTTGTGTGTGTGCATGTGATCTATGCTCATGTGTGAGCTTGTGTGTGCATGTACATGTGGTCTATGCTTGTATGTGAGCTTGTGTGTGCATGTGTGCATGTTGTCTATGCTCGTATGTGCATGAGCTTGTGCATGCATGTGTGCATGTACGTGTGGTCTGTGCTTGTGTGTATGCGTGTGTGAGCTTGTATGCGTGTGTGCCTGTGGTCTATGCTCGTGTGTGTGTGTCTGTGTGTGAGCTTGTATGTGTGTGTTCATGTACATAAGGTCTATGCTCGTGTGTGTGAGCTTGTGTGTGTGCATGTGTGCATGTACATGTGGTCTATGCTCGTATATGCATGTGAGCTTGTGCATGTGTGTACATTTGGTCTATGCCTGTGTGTGTGTAAGCTTGTGCACGCATGTGTGTACACGTGGTCTATGTTTGTATGTAGGTGCCTGTATAGAGGCATGTGTGTGAGCACGTGTTTGTGCCCGTGGGCATGTGGGGATTATGCTCTTTTTTTTTTTTGGTCCTTTTTGAGGCCGGCCGCACCGCGCTCAGCCAGTGAGCGCTGTGAGCGCACCGGTCATCCCTATATAGGATCCGAACCCGCGGCGGGAGCGCTACCACGCTCCCAGCGCCGCACCCTCCCGAGTGCGCCACGGGCTTGGCCCGGGGATTATGCTCTTACAAATATCATCTTGGGAACCTTTGCCACGGGGTGGCAGCAGCCCTCGGCCACCTCAGTCACACGACACATACACACACACACTGCAGCGTCTGGCCTCCTTCCTGTTACATTTCTCTGAAGATGGGGACCCCCAGGGCAGATGACAGCTGCACTGCTCAGACCTGGGCTTGGGGGGCTTGAGAGGAAGCCTATACCCCATTATCTCCAAAACCGGGCCCCCTAACCCATCCCACAAGGACAAGCACCTTCCCTCTTCCAAGGGGCTGGACTTCATGGGGGGTTCCATATTCTCCTTGCTGATGCGGGACATGCCCACAGTCCAGCCCCAATCCCTCCTGCTGGCCTGGCCGGCTGGGAGGTCAGAGTTTCTGGAGGGAAGGTGACTTGTCCACCATCCTCATTCTACAGAACATTCCAAGGGGCTGGACTTCATGGGGGGTTCCATATTCTCCTTGCTGATGCGGGACATGCCCACAGTCCAGCCCCAATCCCTCCTGCTGGCCTGGCCAGCTGGGAGGTCAGAGTTTCTGGAGGGAAGGTGACTTGTCCACCATCCTCATTCTACAGAACACCCCCCACACCACCACCATGTGCCCCAGAAGCTGGTGCTTCAGCAGCCCTGGCACGCGGGGACTCCCTCAGCCCTGGGGACAGGGAGTTGGGGCAGGATGCAAACCTCCCTCCAGGGGCATAGGGTCCCTCTCCTCCAGGGTCTCAGAGCCTGAGATGGGGCCAGGGACAGCAAAGGGGCCCAGAGGGAGGTGGGGGGGCAGCCACCTTCACACTGGCAGTGTCCTCAAGGGAAGGGGCCCGAGGCCACACCACACAAACATCACTCTCAAGAACCAGAGAGAGCACACAGTGGACATGAGAGTGGACAGTGGCTTCTGACCCATAGCCTGGCTCCTTCTGGATGGAGCCCCTCCATCAGGGAGGCTCCGGGAACGGGGACGTAGGAGGAGACGGGCCCAGGTCACCTCCCAACCAGCAGCCCAGCAGAGGTGCAGAGAGGGGGACCCAGGATGCCCTGGCAAGGCCAGGGACAGTCAGGGAGCTGCTGCAGCACCCCATCAGTGCTGACAGCAGACATGGCGCCCCCGAGATCCCCAGTGCCAGGACCCCCGAGAGCTGGGGCACAAGAGACTTGGATGCTGCTTTTGACGTCCTCCCCGCTGGGCAAGAGGGGTTCTTTTGCTGGCCACAGGCCACAGGACAGCCTCCGCTCAGAACGGACTTCACACAGGAAGTGGGCGAGGCCGCCACCTAAGGGCTCCTCTGGCACTCAGTGCTTCAGCATGTGTGCTCAGCCGGCCCCAGTGCCAGACGCTCCGGGGCACCAATACTGAGAGGCCAGACTGGGGTCCACTCTACCTCTCAGTGGCTGGGCCACCCCCCGCTCAAAGCTGGCTGCCCCTAGAGCCAAGGTGCCCACAACAGGAGGGATGGGGTCGTGGGCCCAGCGTGGAGGACAGGGCGTCCTTAATTGCCAAGACACCAAGAGGCCACAGCCAAAGGACTGGTCAGGAGAATTGGAGGGCAGTCAGCTCCAGTGGGAACAGGAGGGTACAGGAGACCCTCAGCCAGAAAAGCAGAGACAGCTGCCCTCTACTGAGGTTGCGGAGGGTGACTGGCTCCCCAGCTGGTTAGGCATCGTCCAGCCCTGCCCTAGGTCTGTCAGGTCATTGGTGGGGACAGGCTGGGGGTTCTCTGGCTAAGCACAGTGCGGATCTACAGTGCTGGCCACAGCCTGGTGACCAACACCCACCAGGGCAGTCAGTAGAGAGGAAAGGCTCCCACCCCCAGATCTGCTATGGCCCAGGTGCGGATGGCTTGTGCACCCCAGGAAAGCACAGGACTGAGGCTTCTGGAGCTCCCAGGAACCCCCTTTCAGAACAGCCTGTGGAACCAATGCCCCGTGCCCCTCTGTGAGCCAGGCCCTCCCAAGAAAGGCCAAGGCCAGGAGGGTCTGAAGGTCACTCTGTGCTCTGATCTGGTCCCCAAAGCCTCAGCCCTTCCTGAGCTCTGGGCAAGGGTCCTGAACTCAGGGCTGGTTCCCATCAAAAGACCCTCAGAACCCAGAAGGAACGGGGAGAAGATGCTAACTGGAGCTCTCTAGCCAGGCACCCAAGAAGCAAGGGCCATCACCCTCACCATACATACAGACGGACAGAAGGCTGAGACTTAGGGACATACCAGCCAGCTCAGTCAGGTGCAATGGCAGGCCATGCCCATAGGCCAACCACACTCTCCTACCCCTGCAGGGTCCAGACTCGGGAACCCTACCAGGCCTCAAGGCCAGCAGCTCCACCTGGGGACAGGCCTTCCCCTCCCTGCCAACCCACCCAGGACCTTGTGCCCTCACCTCATGCCAGCTGTGCCCCGGCCATCTCTGCAGCCCCCTCACACTCAGGCCAGTAGTCGGCTTCCCCCTCCCCAAGCAGAGTGGGCATGGCTGGCCCTGCAGCCACACAGTGCTCCTGGGGCCCCCAGGGCCCCCGCCAGCCCTCCAACCCCTGTTGGAAAAGAACTCCCCACCTGCCCATCAGCCCAGGTAAAGAAAAGGCCCCAGGGGGTTCCCACCTCAAAACCTCGAAAATGCGGAGTCAGGGGGAAGACGCGGGCAGTCCGGTGGCCAGCACAGCCTCACTTCCTGGGCCCGGCCCAACCCATGTCCCCAAAGGGGCCCTCACCCGTGGCTGAGCGTGGCGGGGGCCCGCATGGGGTGCAGAGGTCCGAGTCTGTGTCTGACTCGCCCTCTGCGATGTAAGGTCTGACTTTGGCACAAGGCGCCACGGCCGCGTAGCAGCTGTTGAGGGCGTCCAGGTTCTCCTTGGACTGGGAGATGCTGAAGCCACTGAAAGAACGTTCCAGCTCCTCGTGGTCCACGGACGGGATGGAGATGGACGTGTCGCTGTCCCGCAGGGCACCCTCGTGGGACCTGCCAGCTGGCGCATCCTCATGCCGTAGGAACTCTGTGCTGGGCCGGTTGCCCCCGCTGTAGGCGGACAGTGACCGCTCGTGGGCGGGTGGCGGCGGGATGCGCACCAGTGAGCCGTGGTCTCCCACAGGGGAGGCACCATGGCCCTGGCGCGGGTGGCTCTGCTGCTGCCATGAGGTGGAGGGCGGGCACTGGGCAGGGGCGGCCGGGGGCGCTGAGAAGTTCTTCTGGCCCGTGGAGCTGGTGGAACGCACAATCTTGATGATGCAGCCATGCTTGTCCATGTGCTCCCGGCTGTCTTCGGGGCTATGGTATGGCGGCGCCGGCTCCGGTTCTTTGGCCCCAAAGTAGGCCTCGGTCTCTGTTGGGGGGATGCCCATGCGCTGCATGTAGATGCTCACCAGGAAGTCCAGCTTCTTCTCCATAGACAGGACCTGCAAGAGGGGGCTGCTGGGCAGGGTGCAGAGGGACCCAGGCTGCTCCCCAGAAGTGAAGGGACCTGGGCTGTGTCCCAGGAAGTGAGGGGACCCAGGCTGCTCCCCAGGAAGTGAGGGGACCTGGGCTTCCCCCAGGAAGTAGAGGGGGCCCAGGCTGCTCCCAGGAGGTGGCTGGTGACCTGGGATGCTTCGAAGGGGATGGAAGAGGAGTTGGGGTGGATTTGGGGCTGCTCCTCAAGATAAAGGGGCAGGGGCTGCTGCTCCCCAGAAGGCGGAGGGGCAGGAGAGGGGCCTGGGAGCAGCCCCTCCTCCATGCCAGACCTGAAGCAGCTCAGCCTCTAACCCCACCTGTCATCATGTGTGGTCTAGGAGCTTTCGGCCACGGGGACCCCCCACTTGTTTGAACTTCCCCTGCTGCCCCCTTGGGTCCACCCTTAGAACAAACTCCACAAGGGAAAGGAAGTGGCTTCCAGAAACAGACCCCCAAGGGCCCTATGTGGTGGCTTCTAAGACTCACTCCTAGGAGAGGTGAGGGGTTGGCAAGGGCAGAGGGGAGAAAGGTAGGCCCCCCAAGGGACCCTCTAGTGCAAGTCATGCAGCTCCCCAGCCCAGAACACGGGCCCCCTGGGTGCTGGCTGTCAGACCCAGGAGGGGCTCCTGGTGGAGGACAGGGGGTCCTGACAGAGCGGCCCTCAGCTGTGACAGGAGCCACATGCCCCCGAAGCTCAAGGATCCCTCCCTCAGTGTCTACCCCTGAAGCCCACACTGCCCGGGACAGGACGCCAGCCTCTCCCACCTGCTTCTCCACCTTCCCGAGCCGTCCCATCATGCTGGGGTCCTCCGGCAGCTCCGCCTCGGCTGGGCCCTTGGTGCGGTCCTTGTCTGTTATTGCTGGGCCCCGCCCCACGATCTGGTCCACTCTACCGGGAACAGAGACCCCGCCCCCAAGCATGAGTTCAGGTGAGTGCAGCAGGGTCCTGACCTCTCCTCCTGGGCCAGGCCACAGTCCCCCAGATCCAGGCTCCAGGCCCTGCCTGGAGCCAGCCAAAGGGGCAGTGGTGCCAGGACAGACAGACCAAACCAGCGCGTCCTGCTCTGGCCCTGCTCTCCAGCACCCTCAAGTCCTGTTCCCTATCCACTCCATTCCAGTGGGATCTGGCACATTACCGAGGAGTAAAGGGAGGGAGCTCTCACCTGGGGCCAGTTCACCCCAGTTCTTTCCAGCAGGTGCCCAGCCCCCATATGCCCCACATCTCATCTGCCCACCCAGCTCTCCCTCTCTTCCTGGCCCGAGGCATGTTGGCCCACAGCACAGGGAGGCCCAGAGCGTCATGTGACGGCCAACAGGCACCTGGTGTACCAGACTGGAGCCTGGGGTGCTGCGCCCCTCCCCTCCCTGCCCCAGAGCCCTGCCCTACCCCCAGCTTTACTCCTACATAATGTGCCACTGAGGCCGTCGGCCCAACCCAGGTCTGATGGGGACAGTTACATGTCTGCAGCAGGAACAACAGAAGCAGGTTGGCGGTGAGAGCGACAGCTCCATGCACCAGGACAAGGAGTGAGGGGACAGAGCACAGCACAGGAAGCCACCAATGCACCCACCAGAGAAGGGGTGAGCCAGAGCCGCTGCCAACCACAGAGGGCCTGTGTGCATGTGCGTGTGCATATGTGCATGCATGTGTGTGTGTGCACACGTGTATGTGTGCAGGTGTGCATGTACATTTGTGCACATGTGCATACATGTGTGCACGTGTATGGACATGGATGGGGTTTCGTGTGTGCATGGGTGTGGGTACACATATGTGTGCATGTATGGGCAGGATTCAGAATTCAGCTGAGCTGGTCTTGAATGAGGCACTAGATCACTAATACCAATGGGAAGGGAAGGAGGCTCTTCGCCCTTGGGGACAGGGTCTGTCTGAGCAGGGAGACATCACAAACCCTGCCAGGTCCTGTGGAACAGGAAGGGCCACTGCAGGGCCAGCGGGGCCGCAGGAGCAGGCACGGGCTGAGAGCTGCAGCTCTGTGGACATTCACTCGGGAACAAAGACCCTGCACTGAGTCTACAAGCCCCACCGGGCAGACAGCAGCTGGACACGGGGTATGGCTGAGCAGGACCGAGGCCAAGGCCCCACATCTCACTATGGATAAAACACACCTGGAGGGGGCCTTCCCTCCACTTTCTGCTGAGGGGGCTGCCCTATCTGCTTGCCATGGGGCGGCGGAGGGCGGGGCAGGGTGTTTCTTTCTTTCTGTCGCATGAAACAGAACGGGGTTCAGGCTCACGCCAGCCACGGTGCAGCTTCTCATGCTCTGCCGGGCTCCATGCTGGACTCATGCACGGGAGGGGGCTGCGGGGGGCCCTCGGCTCCAAGCAGACACCAGTGGAAATGGAGAGGAGACGGGCTCCCTGGTGCTCCCCAGTGTCCACACAGTCCAGGCAAGGACGCTCAGCACCTTCACCCCTGCCACATGACGGGCTGCCTGCGGGTGATCCCAATGAGAGCCGTGGCCAAGGACTCAGCTATAGCTGCTGCTGCGGGGCCAGGAGAGGGTCCTCCAAGGACCCTGCACCATCTCATCCCCTCGGCCTCAAGCTAGGCATTGGACTCCATCCCTACGTGCTCCGTGCCCCTCAGGGTGGGGTGAGGACCTCTCCTCTGGGTGAAGCTGCGTGTCTCCTGGCTTTAGCAGTCCTGGGAGGTGGAGCCAGGGCCTTCTCAGCTCATGGCTCTGAACACTGAGCGACCGACCCCTGTAGCAATGCCCAGAAGGACAGGAGGGCTTCAGTCTCAGGGCACGAAACCCTTTGGGATTGGGGGGCATGGCAGGGCAGGGACCCAGCAAACACTGTCTGGGGCCACCCTGGGTCAGGAAGCAGCAAACAGCCCTGCCTGCTCCCCAGGAACTCCACTCTCATGGGAAAAGCTGTTGCATCCAGAAGACGCCAAGCCCACTGTCCCCGGGCCTCACATGCGGGAACCCTGGCACCCACCAACTTGGACTGGGCTGTGACCCCAGGGACTCGGTTGTGCCCAGAGCCCCTGTGCCCCGAGCTGCCAGGTAGGGCTGAGGCCAGCTGTGCTCACCCTCCACAGCCCTGCTCTGGGGGCTGTGCTCCACCTCAGCCAATCAGACTTGCCGGAGGAGGGGGAATGGCTCTCATCCAAGTGGCCTCAGGGAAGAAAGAAGGCCTCGCTGAGCCTGAACTGACCCCGAGACCCTGCTGCCAACTCTCCACCTAACTGTGCTAGCCTCCCGGTCTGCCCATCCACTGGGGTCCTACCCTTTGCTCCATCAGTAGTGCTGATCATGGCAGTGGCAATTTAAAACAAAAATGCCAGAGCTCACAGGGCTCCCTCGGCGCCAGCACGGTGTGGGGATTTTCTCATTTACTCTTCAGGCAGAGGAGCCACCACCCTGCTCAGGCCCACGCAGTGCCAAGGGCAAGGTCGACCCCAGCAGTGAGTGGGTGTGGAGGGGCCCACGTCAGCGCCCAGGGAGACTGCACATTGGTGGCAGGGTGGGAGGACGCCTTTGTGGGCACCATCCCAGGAAGCCCAGCCTGTCCTCCCGGCCCTGCGCCTCTGAGGGCACCTGACCCCTGAGGAGCTGCCCAACCCCAGGTGGACGTCACGTGGGACATCGTGGGAAGGAGTCCCAGCGCCCCAGGAGGGCCCTGGCAGGGGAACAGGCTTCTCCCTAACGCTTTTTCGGGAAGAGAAAACCTGACGTCCCCTCCATCCGGGAGAAAGCATTGTGCCGGGTGCTGCCGTCATGTGGCCTGGAGCGAAGGGGCCGGCCATTCCACAGAGACAACCGGAAGAGGTGCTGGCATCCTAACCTAGGTGAGTACTGGGGTGACTCTCTCGGAGGGGCCGTGGGTCCTTTGGTGGGGTACTTCTTGTGCCGGGGAGTTGAAGGGGGTGGGGGGCCCACAATCATATCTATCCTGGCAGAGTAAACGAGAGAAGAGACACCGGCAAAAATGCATCATAAAGCAACAGGAAAGGAGGTTGGCTGGAAATTTGCAGAAACAGAAGAAACAACCCAGCTTCAGACAACAAAGTGACACTTCTTAAAAGTATTTCCACTCAAAACAGAGAGCAGTTGGTGCCACACGCACACGACCTCCCGTGTGGCAGCTGCACCCGCATGGCTGCGCCTCTGCTGCCTGCCCGTGACACAGGGCACACAGGCTCCCGGGAGAGTGTGCAGCAGGTGCCAAGTACCGGAGAGGGCGCTGGCTACAGGGCCTCCTGTGACTCATCGTCAGCAAGAGGAGAGGAAGTGTCCGGGGCTCCTCAGGTGGTTGCTAGGTTTTGTGTGTTTTTCCAGAAAGGGAAGGAAAGGAGGAAATTTAAGACAGAAGAGCCTGGTGAACAGAAACAGCTGTAGTGAGAGACATGGAAACAAGCACAAGTCGAGAGACTGGGACGCTCCCTCACACGCACACACCCACATGCTCATGTACACACACGCTCAAGCACGCGTGCACACACCCACATGCTCACATGCACACACACGTGTGCACACAACACAGGCGCACACACATTCTCATACACATGTGCACACACGCCCGCAGGCTCACATGCACACGCTCATACACACGCGCACACACGCCCACAGGCTCACACACACATGCTCATACGCATGCACACACACGCCCACAGGCTCACACACACATGCTCATACACACGCACACACACATGCTCATACACACGCGCACACACATTCCCGCACGCTTACATGCACATACACATGCACACACAGCACAAGGCTAGCCTATGCTTGGGAGGACATGGAGGGAGAGGCCTCCCAGCCTGAGCCTGGGTGGAAGAAGGGGACACTTCCCTGCCCACGCCCAGTGGGAGAAGGTTGAGGTCTAGAGAGACCCTTGTGCTGGCACCCAGGCACGGGACAAGACGGCACCCCGAGTGGAGCACGCCGACTTCCTCAGACGCTCCTGCCAGAGGGCTGAGCTGGGTGTGGCCCCAGGGCTGTCCCAACTGTCCAGACCCCAGGCCCCAGTGCTACTTCCAGGGCCGGGGAACAGCTGCAGCCTCGCATGGGGGGCTTGCGGGGGAAGAGCCTGACCAGCAGGAAGGTGTGACCTACTTCAGAAGAGATTCAAAACAGCCGTACGGCCTTCTACAGGCACCACAAACACCATGCATGTGCATGTGCTTGATTACGTGTAGCTGAGGGTGCATGCCTGTGAGCAACTGTGTGTGTGTGGACTTAGGGATCTCCGTGTATGTGGGCAGCAGGCCAGAGCACAGCTATGTGCACCTGTGTGTGTGGGAGTGGACAGGTGTGCTGTGTCCCCAAAAGGTTCATGTAGTGGAATTTCATCCCCATTGTAACGATGTTGAGGGTGGAAACCCTATGATGTATTTGAAGAGGTGATTGGATTGTGAGGCCTGTGTCCTCTTGAAGGGACTGATCCATGCATGGAGTGGTGGGCATGGTTCTGGTGGCTTCATAAGGAGAGAGAGTGAGCAGGTCAGCTCTCTTGCTCAGCCCATTCTCACCGTGTGACACCCATGTCACTGTGGAGCCACCACCAAGAACAAGGCCCTCTCAGATGTGTGCCCTGGACTGTGGATTTCTCAGCCTCCGAAACTGCAAGAAATAAATTTCTTGTCTTCATAAATCATGCAGTTTCAGGTATTCCGTTATAAGCAACAGGCAACAGACTAATACAATGAGTCTGTGTGTGCGTGCACATGTATACACGCCTGTATGTGGAGAATGCACATGTGGGGGGGGGTGCACAGGCACGTGCATTGGCTCCTGGAGTGAGCAAGCCTGTCCTCACACACGTGGGGTCGACGCAGAACAGCAGGTGGATGCCCGGCTACTGCCTCCTGCTCAGAGGCCTCACAAGGCAGGGAAGGGATGGCCCTGTGTTCTAGAAACAGAAGAGGTGCCAAGTAGCACATCTGCTGCCTGAGGGGCCCATGGAAATCCTGGAGCCTCATTCTCAACAAAACCACTCCATACCAAACACGTGTGTACACACATGCACACACACAAGCATGCATTAATACACACATGTGCAAACCAGCACTGCACTCACCCACACATGTGCACACACATGCATGAGAACACAGGCATGCACGCATATGTGCACCGACACATACACGTGTGTACATGCATGCACTCAGAGGCCAGCACGCATGTGCACTCACACGCACCCATGCATACGCATACATACATGCGTGAGTGCACACTCACACGCGCACACACACTTGCCCACCACAGTGCGGGTGGGGGAGAAGGGAGAGATGACAGAAACATTAAAAACAGACAGACTGTGAGATGACATGGCAAAAAGCTGACAAGAAGCCGACGTGGGTGGGAGGAGGCCCCGCTGGCCCTGCCCTGCACCCTCCACGCCCACCCCAGGGGCCCCGCCCTTGCCCTGGCTGGGCAGCAGGTGGGGGCTCTTGCCTGGACTGCAGGCTCTTGATCCGGGACAGCATGTCCAGGTGGCCAGCAGAATACTGCTCGATCACGTCCATCACATCGTACGGCCGCAGACTCTCCTTGAATTTCCGTTTGGATACCAGGAACCGCATGACACTGCCAGGGCCAGAGGGGCCTTGAGCTTCGGCCAGAGACCACCCCAGCCCCTCTCTGACTGGGCCGACACCAGCGTCCACCTGCCGGCTGCCCTCCCAGCATCTCTGACACAACTGGATGACTCACCCCTCATCATGGCCATTCGCCCGCCCCACAAAGGGCCACCTGTGGTGCCCGGCTGCCCAGACAGACCCTCGTCCACCCTGAGATCTGCTGATGCAGGGGCAGCCTCCTCTCCTGGGCCCCCACGACACCCAGGATGGGGGCAGCTCTCGGGCCCAGTCTTCCCCCTCACAGACTCCCAGCCATGCCAGGCACAAGGTGATATCACGAGGAGCAGGGACAAAGAGGGCGTCGGCCACAAGCCTTCTCACTGAACAGGTGTCCCCCAACCAGCACTCTGAACCCAGCCACATCCCAGGAGAGAGTGGAGCCAGGACACATGGCCGGGACTGTTCCTTCTCCGCTCAGCCTTTCACGGCGGGCTCTGCCTCCTGGCCTCTCCCCGTATGCCCCCCCCCTGCGGTGAGCAGGGGACCCTCACCACACGGCTCGGATGCTGACTTTGAGGCCCGGGGTCAGGTCCTCGGCCACGAACTCACAGTTGCAGCTCTTATTGTCATCTGCGACGTCCTCCCCAGGGAGACTTGCTTCTGGGTGGATGGAAACAGACGATGAAGCTGAACCACGCCTGGGGACAGAGGGCCAGGCGCCCCATGCGCTCACATCTGCTCCTGTGGAGCCCACCCTTCCACCCTGCCTCCCACAGCTGCTCCTCCCTGGCTGGGACTTCCAGCAGGTGGTGGCCACAGGAGTGGCTGGTGTGAGGGTTTAAAAGGATGTCCCTGTCAACTGATGAACAAACTGTGGTGTGCCTCACAGCAGAACATCACTCAGCCATAGAAAGGAACAAGGCACTGACACGCTACAACACGGGTGAGCCTGGAGGACATCACATTCAGCAGAAGCAGCCAGGCACGCCGGGCCGCATGGCGTACTGTCCCCCTTGTATGAAACATCCAGAACTGGCAAATTCGGAGACAGAAAGTGCAGCGGTTCCCATGGGCTGGGAAGAGGGGTTGGGGGCGAATGCTAATGGGCACGGAGTTTTCTTTTGGAGTGATGGAATGTTCTGGAACTAGACAGAGGTGATGGTTGCACAACACCGTGAAGTTTCTAGATGCCACTGAATTTGTACACTTTAAGATGGTCAATTTTATGTTATGTGAATTCCACCCCAATAAAGAAATACATGGGGGAGGGGCCTCCTGCTCCGGCAGCAGCGTGGGAGGCCACGGTGCCACGGGGCTGCAGCCTGACCCACCTTCTGAGTTCTGCCGGGACGCGGCACCCTTGATCCGGAAGGCCTGGCGCGCCCGGCTGCGGTCTCCAAAGCTCCAGCTCTTGGGCACCTTGCTTGGGCTGTCATCGAGGCTCTGGTCAGCACTGGGTGACCGCCGGACAGGCTGGGCCTGGGGGGACCCCTTCCCCTTGGCAGCCACGCCTCGGGGGCTGGAGAAGACACGATCTTTCAAACTGACCTTCTGACTGCTCCCACAAGAACCGACAGACAGACGGACACACACAAAGAAACACAAGAGAAGTCACTCTGGAAAGAACACGAAGCGTATCTGAACATGACTGATGCTGTCCCACGTGACAGTACAGAGCCATGAGACCCAAGGACAGCCAGCCACGTGTGTAGGGGGAGGGGGCTCAGAGCAGCTGCCATGGGACAAAGCACAGGGCCAGAAGGGAGGGACAGCCGGGCAGTCACAGGCTCCCTGGGGACAGCAGGTGCAGCCAGACCTCGGCTGCACCTAGGGTAGGTGATGTCCGTGGACTCTTCAATCACTTTTGCTACCACGACAAAGTACGAGAATCCTCTCCACACCATCCCACCAGCGCCCCCCGCCAGGTGACACTCTGGGCAAGACAAGTCCCCAAATGCCCAGGGGGCTGCGGTTGCTCTCTGAGCACCTCCCGTCTGCCCTGGGTTCTTGCGCCCTTCCCTGCACCTTCCACGCCTGTCACCGCCCCTGGGAGTGGCCTTCCTCCTCCTTCCATCTCTCCACCTCCTGCCCCAGAGTCAGGGGAGAGCAGGTGGCATTTGTTCAGCCTCACCCTGGGCCTTTCTGACCAACCCTAGGTAGCCACCTGGTGGGAACAGGCTTCAAGAGGAGGGCGCGGGCTTCCTCACTGGACCTGGTGCTGAGCCTGCCTGAGTCTGAGCTCTACCCCGCACCAGGACGCCCGAGAAACAAGCATCCTGCTCTGGAAGGAGGGTGTGAATGAGGCTGTTCCGCCAGCCGGCCTTGGCTGGAACAGGCCCCAGCAGGAAGCAGAGAACCACAGCCCCAGCCCTGCAGGCGGGAAGCTGGATTCACAGCGGGTTCCACGTTCTCGACAGTCCTCGGGCCTCACTTGTGCTCATGTTTCTTGGTAACCTGGAGATAGGCCTGACACCCACATTCACCGGCTCCAGTGTCATCCAGCAGCAGCAGGAGAGGCAGATGTGTCACCACGGTTAGGTACCGGGCAGATGTGGCCTCCACCCTTTGGCCTAGGGAACATCAGGACCTTCTCACCGCCTTCCACCATCTGCCAGAGAGGATGGCGAGGCTCCCAGGACCTGAGAACCCACTCACAAGTGGCCACATGCAGGTGCCTTGGAACCTCCCAAGACGGCCTCTGAGAAGGGCCCATGCTGTCCCTGGGCCTGTGAGGAGCCCAGGGTCAGGGAGGCTGGAGGGTCTTGACGCACCTCCAAGGGGGAGCCACACTGCTCACTCATGCCCCAGATGCGGCTCCCAGCCCCGCCACAGCTCCCTGGATAACAGTGAGAGAGTGAGGCTCTGGTCAGCAGCCACCATCGGCCCAAACCCAGGACCCACAGCCAGAGAGACACATCCACCGACGGCAGTGAGATGACTGGCCACAAAGAGATGGTCCCCAGTGCCCAGTCCACCCAGCCTGGACACAAGCATGGGACGGGGCCCCCTCCCCCTGCCCCCAGACAGCAGGCAACTGCTGACCCTCTGTGCCAGCTCAGGGGTCTCCGAAAACAGGGAGAAAGAGGAAGAAACGTGTTTCCAGGGAGATGGCCCAGGCATGGAGCCCACTCGGGGATGCAGACAGCATAGCAGCCACGTCTCCTATGCCCCAGAAGTCCTGCTCCGTAAGCATCGGGAGCCAGTGCCTACATCGGGAGTGGGACCCTGTGCCTGTTCAAGGTTGCCGCAGGCAGTGGTGCCCAGAGTCCAGGTGCTGTGGTGCCTCTGTCCAGGTGACCTTCTGAGAGAGAGAGGCCCAGGGAGGACGGGACGCTGGGGTCACCTCCAAATGGCCATGCTACGGGAGTTGTGGCCCCAAACAGAGTGGCTGTGGGAGCACTGAGGCCCACCCAGGTACCCAGACCTCGCTCCAGCTTCCAGAATGTTCTCTCCTCCTAAGGGCTCCTCCAATGTGAACATTTCAGAGGCAGGACTGTGGGCCCCTCCCAGCCCCCACTCGGCATATCCAATACTGCACCTCATGATGTCACTCAAAGTCTCTCTTCCCATCTCCAAACCTGGGCAGCTCCAATGACAAGAGCCAGGAACCAGAGTCACTGGCTTTATGATCACAGAGGACAAACGCCATGCAGGGGGTGAAGCTGATCGCCCAGACTGCCTCCTGCTGGGTTTCTGGGTAGAGCCACAATGCTGACAATTTGCAATTAGGATTTCTGCCACCTGGAGGGAGGGGACAGAGCCCAGCGAGCACAGGAGCGACAGGGAGGCGCTGGCAGCAAATTCCACAGGCCCCTCCAGGCGAGCAGAGGGACCATAAGAAGAGGAGGGGAAGCCCATTTTCTAGCGGTGATTCCTCCTCAGCCGCCTTTAGAAGCAACCGCCCCTCCGAGCCAGGGCGGGGAGGGGCCCTCCGTGGACCTGCCAACCTGCCGTCCACGCAGCAGGGGCTCCAGGAACGCGTCCCCATGTGCAGCTGCCCGGAGCCAGCCATAGAGGCAGAGTCACACAAAGATGAGGCCACCAGGAAGGAGCCTTCCCTGGGCCTCGGCCACGTCTCCACGGCCCCGGCTCTGCTCCCACCTCAGACCTGCAAGGGATGCTCTGCAGGAGGAGGAGACAGTGTGGACAAGCTTGGACCTCTCCCTCCCCTGGACCTTCACAGTCATCAAAACTGCGTCCTCCCAACACAGCGGGTGTGGCTCGACACTCACAGGACACTGTCCCCACAGAGCCTTCCTCAACTGCAGCACCTGAGACGGCCAGTGTGGGGTCCTGCCGACCCTCCCCCGCCTCACAAGCAAGTGCACAGGACAAGGCTCCCCAGAGCTCCCACACCTGCCCCAGGAGAACGGCCTCAGCCAGAGCCACCCTCCATGTGACAGGGCATCTTGCGGCATCTGTGCTTTGGCATTTACAGGGGCAGGGCGAGCTCAGAAAGCCTAGGAGAGAAAATGAGCCCCAGCCTCTCCTTGCCTGCCCACTTCCCCCG